TTATAAAGTACCTTTAACAAAGTTTTATCACAATGTTGAGACATGAATATTATTTCATTCTTTCTTTGGCTGTCAAAAAATCCTTCATTCTTACTATTCTTAAAAACATAATTGCATTGGATCACAGCTTTTACATTAAGTTAATTGTAAATATAAGAATGTCAGGAACTTAGTTTTCATTACATACTACTTGAAAATATTTTTCATAAAATTGTTAAGAACTGGATTGAATTTTCAAAACCAATTATTTTCAAAACATTTGTTTAAACCAAACTTTTTCCAATAATAATAAAAACATTTTTTTAAATATATTTGAAGCGTTTACTGCTTTTGAAATAATTTTTCTATCATATTACAAAATTTTGTTGTTGCATTGTCGATAGCTTCTAATCGTTCTTTTTGGCGCTGTTCACGTCTATTTTCTTGCTCCTTAGCATGTTGAAGAAAAGTCTCTGTCCAAGACGATAACTGACGTTCAACTTTACTTTTTTTTNGTTTATGACACTCTTCTGTTATGCTATCTTCTGAAGTTGAGGTCATATTTTCATTTGTAGCTCTCATATTAGAAGCAATTGCTATTGGATTTACATTTGGCTTGTCTCCAAATATTTCATCCATTTCGTTATAATATCGATATGTTTTAAGTGGAGCACCTGTTTGTTTGTTATGATCTTTAACTCTCATATAACTTTTNCNCATNTTNATCCATTTATCTTTTATNTGTGTTCATTTCCTATCGCCAGAACTATTCTNTTCTCTGTTGGATTGAACTTTGGCTCCACTTTCTGCTTGTATTTTTTTAATCATATCTCCATCTTTACTAATGACAACGCCAACAGCAGCTCTTGGAACAAATACCTTTACTTCACTATTTGCAGAACCGCGATTGAAGCCACTGTCGTTACATTTAATAATTGCCTGTTCTCTCAGTATCTCCTCTCCCTCCTCTATGAAACATTTGTATTTCCTTTTTAGCTATTAATTTAACATAGACCAACTGCTTTGCATATTTCACTTTTTGTGGATTTCCTGTTATTCTTAAAGATTCTCCTGTTCTTGAAAGGAGTCGTTTTGAATAACGATCATTATAGCGCCAGACTTTTCTTGAAGTTGTCTTACAACTGAACAATTATAGTTATTAGAATAAATTTTTATATTTTCTAACTAATATCTCAATCATCATAGAAGATGTTTTCCGGTTTTGAACGGATTAGTGTCATCTTCATACCGACNTTTTGATACTTAGTATCAGGTTGCTCTTGAAACTGATAAAGTGAACTGAAATGTTTGCAAAACGTCGGTATAAAAATAAATAAAACTAACATAAGGAATAATATTTAACATAATATTTAATAAATAATATAAAACTAACGCGGTTCAAACCCGACAAATATCTTCAAATGTTGATACAACATATCGCGAAGGTATCAAATATCAGATAAAGTACCTCAATCATTATTATCTAATACATCCAATGTCTCTGCTATATAATTTCTTTTATTAACACCTTCTATAGTATTAATACCGTCCATGTCTTCTTGTATATCTAGTAATTCTTCATTATTTTGTTCATTATTAATAAAGTTATCAATTTCATTTTCTATATAATCTTCAATATCATAATCTAAACCATCAAGACATATGTTGTGGAGAACACAACATGCTAATATAGTTTCAGGAATTAGATCTACTCGATTCATATGTAAATATTTTAAACGTCGAAATCTCCCTTTTAATAGAGAAAAGGCTCGCTCAATAACTTGTCTAGCTTGACTAAGATGTTGGTTAAAATTCTTTTGTACCTGAAAATAAAGANGATAAAAAGATATGATAAACAAAAAAATAATTGACTTTATTTTAATAAAACTTTTAATTTATAAATGTTTTTTATTTCCTTACCATTGTAAGATGGCCATTATCTTTATAGGGAGCCATACACCATCCTAAAGTAAAATATGCTTTATCAGCAATTATATATTCTTCATTAGGAAAGAAATCGTTCCTCTTCTTATGCNCAGCATGCCATAAATCACTGTTTCTAAATACTCTTAAATCTCCTACAGATCCAGGATATCCACAAAAACAATCAGTAAAACGCAAATCAGCATCACATACAGCTTGCAAAACTATTGCATATCTACATTTTCGTGTGTTGTATGTTTCAGGATCAACCTACAAATAAAAATAAAAATAAAAAGTGATCAAAGTTACATTCACTTACATTACAATTTATATAATGTATAAATCTAAAACCTAACTTACTTCTGGGGCAGGTATTTCAATATGAGAGCCATCTATAACTCCAACAACATTAGGTAATCCTGACATTCTTTGAAATTTAGTTTTTATATTTAATAAATGATCGTCTTTTGGCCAAGATATTATTTCTGCTGNCAAGGATGATAAAGCTTTTATAACTCTCCTAACACAATGTGAAAGAGAAGACTTCCCTAAGTTAAATTTCGATCCAACAGATCTACAATAAAAACATCATATACATACACACACACACATTAAAAACATANTAATAATATATTTAAAATTTCTCACAATATATTAACCTATAAGAATCAGGAGTAGCTAATAGCCAAAGAGTAGCAAGCAATTGTTTCCGAACAGGCAATGTCGAGCGACCAGATGTATTTTGCCTTAATAACAAATTTCCTATTTTATTTTCCAAACTATCATAGACAGCTAGTTCGATTCGAAAGTGTTCTTTGAATTGTTTTGTAGAGAATCTTGGAATTATATTTTCAACATAACCTTCAACACGATATATTTTTCTTNTTTTGCCACGTATTCTTAAGTATTTTTCAATATCAATAAAATGTTGTACAAGTTCTTCACTATCATTTTCACTATCACTTTCATTTGTTACTTCGGTTAATATCGTTGAATAATAATAACTTGCAATGAGTAGCATAAGGAACCGCTTTTTGTTTGTACTATCAGCCATTTTTACATACCAAATACGTTCCAAAACAACTGCTACCACGGTTAACTTTATCCCCCTCCATATCGCCAACTTCCAAGGTTAACCGCGGTTGATTTTGGAACGTACCCCTGAGGGAGTGTCTGTGGGACCTTCCACCCGTAGATGGTTCTAGGGAGTATATCCCTAACACAATGGCGGCTACCCTGAAGCGCAGATTGTACAAGACGTATTTTTCTGACCCCAGGGGGGCACAGACTTATTATTCCAATCCCCTAACACAACACCAGTTCTTCGGAACAAGAAGAGGATTGGCCCAGATGTTAGACTTGTGGACACGACCCATAGAGGGGCGGGACCTCGTACCCCCCCTGAGGCTTGGGTTGTGGATGATCCATTACCTGACGATGCTAACCTTGCCACTATGTTTCCAGCAAGGACGGACAACATCCAGTGAGTGGGGGTGGGGTGTAATCCCAGCTACAACCATGGAGCTCTCTCTCTTACAGAGATGGGGCTGAAGATGGTGGATGCTGCTAGCCATCCCGATCCAACCACGCCAAATGTTCTGAACCCGTAGAGGTCCAGTGTGGTGTCTGGTTACGTGAGTGGTGCCCCCGTTTTTGGGTTCATGGCGCAAAATGCCATGTCTGCTCCAAATGATTAGAAGGAGCTTGGGTTGAGGGTGGCTCTGTATGATGACCTTAGGCAGGTGGAAGCTCTACAACCTACTGGTGTAGAGTGGGCATGGGCAGATAGAACTGAGCCCGTGAAGTATATTTTGCCGTTGGGAAGGGCTAATCAGTGAAGTTATAGCGCCACGTTTGTGTCCCCCCAAGCGGTGGAAGCTGCCCTGAGGTCTGGGGATAGAACCATCCAGGTGGGTCAGGGGCCTGACTCTAGGAGGTGGTCGTTGCAAGACGGCTCCACCCGGGTAGTGGCCCTACCTGATTCGAATTGTCCCGGTGATCTTGGGACTGCCATTTGGGTGTTGAGTCATCTAACGTACCCTTTGGCTTGGGTCGGCGACGTGTATAGAGTTACGCAGGACGGAGTCGACTTCAGAGAGGAGATGTTCCTGCGTACAGCTGGACTTGTGGATGTGCCGGATTCGTGTCGTAACATCGTATTCTTAGTCCCTGGTCAGTATAGAGAGAGGGTATCACTGGGCGGCAGTACTTTCTCCGTGGGACTGACGGACCGGCACGGCAATGCTGACCCGCATAGACCCCCCATCCTGGTCAACGTGGACGGGGTGATTGAAACCTTGGTCAATTCGTGTCTAAATTCGAAGTTTTCACTCCGAGGCGCGTTTTCACGCTTTACGGATACGAACTTTGATAGAGGACTGAATTGGCTTGAGATAAACACACTGGTGACTGCCCGTAAGGTGGCACGCTCGTGTCGAGGCATATTATGATGAAGGAGGGGCCCAATGAGGGAGGGGAGCCCCTGAGACCATACTTACCGACCTGTATGGTCTGGATGCCGACGACGCAAGACAGGTCCCTGTGAAAGTAGTTGATTATGGAGCCAGGGTGACCGTAACCTGCTTAGATCAAAGGGTTATGGGGATGATGGCTGCTCGGACATACCCTCACGTTAGTGTTGATAGGTGGGGGAACCTTGCCGAGGTAGCGCTGGGTACCGGCGTTTGTTGGTACAAGACTTTTAATATGGAAGACCAAGTCATGATTAGGGCTAGGGTCAAGACGGGACTACATGACCGGATGTTACGTGGCCCATATCTTCGTAAGATATTGGAAAGCTACAAGAGAAAAAATGGCCTACGCGAAGAGATAGCCTTCAGTACCGATAATGACGATGTGTCACAGGCGTAGCAAATATTTATTTATTTCTATATTTAAATCCTCAGTACTTTGGCCAAACGCATCAATAACCATTCAACCATCTTTGAGGCCGAAGCCGCTGCCATTAAACGGGCTGTACTCTTTGCTTTGGATCACAGATGGACTGATACCATTATCTCTTCGGACTCTCTCAGCGTTCTCACCTGCCTGAAAAATCAGGACCCAAATGGAACTCACCTCCCGTGTATTTATGACATCAAAACTTTATACGGAAAATGCCTGTCTAAAAACATGAAGATTCGCTTCGTTTGGACACCCAGCCACTGTAATATCGAGGGCAATAAAGTCGCGAACTGCGCCGCTAAACGCGCGTTGCTTTTTCCGGATCCGTTTCTCACAGCCAACCCATACAGCACAGTTCATTGCAGCTATATTGCAGCAACGTTGCAACATTGCAAATTGCAATGCAACATTACAAAGACATTGCAGAGATATAAATCCGCAAAATATTAGCACACTTGTAGCAACATAACAATAATATTTTAG